ATCGAGATAGACCTATGGCTCCTTTTGAGAATTTGCATAGAATCACTTTCTCAGTCGATTTATGCATGTCCGTCTGTCCATGTATTTTTGTGAACAATGTACAGGTCGCATTTATTATCCGATTTGAATGAAATTTGGCACATGTCACTAATATGGCCCAAGGACGAAACCTATTTAAATTGGAAAAAATCGGTTGAGATTTTGGATATAGCTCTCATAAATAGTTCCGACCGATTTTTTGTAAATGGTGCACCAAACTGCCAATATTGGTCCGATTGAGACAACATTTTGCGCGGAGAACTGACTTAGGTCCAGATAGATATGTGTCAATTTTTTTTAATCGGTTCGGATTTAGATATGGCTCTCATATATAGTTTCAGCCGATTTTATGTAAATGGACCACCATATCATCAATATTTGTCCGATTCACACAACATTATGCACAGAGTTCTGAATCAGGTCCAGATTAATGTATGCGAAGTTTTGTCGGAATCGGTTCAGATTTAGATATAGCTCCCATATATAGTTTCGTCCGATTTTATATAAATGGAGCATCTAAGAGTCAAATTTAGGCCGATTGGCACAAAATTTTGCACAGCGTACTAAATTCATGTATGCGAAGTTTCGCTGGAATCGGTTCAGATTTAGATATATAGCTATCATATATAGTTCCGTCCGATTTTTTGTAAATGATGCACCAAACTGCCCATATTGGTCCGATTGAGACAAAATGTTGATAAGAGTACTGAATTAGGTCCAGATTGATGTATGCGAAGTTTTGTTGGAATAGGTTTAGATTTAGGTATAGCTCCCATATATATCAGATGAATAGGCTTGGATTTTTTATGGAATATTGTTTGAGGAATCATCCGAAGATTAGGCATGGATTTTTTAAAGAATATTTTTGTGCCACCAACCGAAGAATAGGCATGGATTTTTAAGGAATATTTTTTGAGGTACCCTCTGAAAAATATACGTGGATATTGTAAAAATATGTATATTTTAATGATTAGGCGTAGATTTTTTTAAATGAGTCACCGTCCAAAAAACAGGATCTGATTTTTTAGGGGCTCAACAGAATAGGCGTAGATTTTTAAAGGAAATTTTTGAGACAACATCCGAAGAATAGGCGTACATTTTTAAATGATATTTTTTAACCCGCATTCGAGGTGTAGTCACCATCCAAATAATTTTTTTTGATTCACCATCCAAGGAATAGGCGTGGATTTTTTATGGAATATTTTTTGACTCACCATCCAAGGAATAGGCGTGGATTTTTTATGGACTATTTTTTGAGTCACCATATTTTTTGAGGCACCATCCAATGAATATGTTTGGAGTTTTTAGAGATTTTTTTTGAATCATCTTCCAACAAATAGACTTGGGTTTTTAAAAGAATATTTTTTAAGGCTTGGATTTTTGGGACCATGAACAGAATAGGCGTGGAATTTTAAGAAATATTTTTTTTAAACACCATAAACTGAATAGGAGTGGATATTTGCGAGACATTCCGCAGAACAAGCCTTGAGTTGTTAAAGAATATTTTTTGAAGAACATTTCGAGAAAAGGTTGTGTGGATTTCTGAAATCATATTTTTTCAAGGACCTTCCGACCAATAAGCGTGGATTTTTGAAAGCATATTTTTTCAAGGACCTTCCGACCAATAAGCGTGGATTTTTGAAAGTGTATTTTTTCAAGGACCTTCCGACCAATAAGCGAATATCCTGAAAGCATATTTTTCAAGGACCAATAAGCGTAGATTTTTGAAAGCACATTTTTTCAAGGACCTTCCGACCAATAAGCTTCGATTTTTGAAAGCATATTTTTTCAAGGACCTTCTGATCATTGTCTCGCTCAGGAAGATAATACTTGCTACTAGTTTTCTCAGGGCTTATATGCTATTTAACGATCTAAATTATAATATAAAATATAACAGCTATCCAGATCAATGGGTCCCACCCAACGGGTGCTTCATGACGGGTCTCCATTTTTTAATTTCCTAAACCTTTTCACTGCTAAAGAGGACGTGAAAGGGAATGTCATACATATCATTTTGAGCACCGGTGTGCTGTTTGCGCTTCTTCCTTCTGTTCATCCTGGCCATTTTTCACGTTTCTGATCCAGATAATTGCGTGAGTTTGGCGATATGCTTTCTCAATTCTTTTACCATGTTGTCACCCTCTTCGCTTCTCTGGTATTATAGGACAACGACTGTTTCAGTTCGGTTTCGGAATTTGAGTTTGAGTCCCTACTTGCTTCGGATGTTTGGGTCGATATTGCTCTTTACATGGGCCCTTAAACTCAGATCTATTATTGTCCGGTCGATGTGATCTTGATGTAATACCCACGACTAGTGAGTAGTGAGTCATCTGAGCATCATCCTGGTCAGTTTTCGCCTCTGTGTATCAGATAACTGCTTCAGTCTTGCTGTGAGGTTGATGCTATTCCTGTTCAGTTTCTCTATCATCTTATCAGCCTCTATGCTTCTTCGCCATTCTAAGACGACTGTGTTAGCTTTATATTCGTGCTCAAATTTGAAATCTCGAATGGTTGGGTCAAGATTGTTCTTCGCCTATGGACCTGAATCTTATATCCATTTTATCCTGCTTGTAGCGATACCTTCGTCTACAGATACCAAGATGTTTGCTCACGATAGCAGGAAGACGATGGGGTGTGACTCGTGGGCAGATCAACTTCGCCTGACTGTATTGAGTTATTTAGGTTCTGCACCGTAACTTTATTCTTCTTCGTACTTTCCATATTTGTTTAGGGTAACGCCCTTACACCCAGTTTTTGTGGGAACAATGGCCTAAAGGCGGGTGATCAAACTATTCCATTATCTCCAGATTTAAGGTTTTGAAATGTTTTGCAAAATCGACTAAAAATTTGATTTTTTATATGAATTATTGTGAACAGATTAAGTAAAGTTCCGGAAAGTGAATTTTTTGGGCAATTTGAGCTTTGTGATAAAAAATCAAGTATATATGAAGAAAATCGAAAGTCGATCTTGAAAAGTCGACGTTACGATTTTCTCATAGATCAAAAGTCGACTTCGACCTTTATACTTTTCAATACAAAAAGTCGATTAATCGATTAGTCAAAAGTCGCTTTACTTATCTCTAATTGTAACTTAATATTTTTTTTAACACAAACCTCGGATTTTCCCTTAATATTTTTTTTATAACGCACGCCTCGGATAGTCCTTTAAACTTTTTCTTTAAAAAACCGACACCTTGGATGGTCCTTTAAAAATTGTCATTTACAATTTTCATTAAAAACCTGACGCCTCGGATGGTCCTTTAAAAATTGTCATTTAAAATTTTTCTTTAAAAACCCGACGCCTCGTATGGTCCTTTAAAAATTGTACTTTACATTTTTTCTTTAAAAAATCGACGCCTCGGATGGTCCTTTACAAATTTTATTTAAAAACACTCCTTGGATGGTCCCTAAAATGTTTCTAATAAAACCCCACTAAAAAACCCACTCCACCAAGGGTCCCTTAATATTACAAATTTTCTGTAAAAACTCAAATTTTCTTTATAAACTTAGACTTTGGATGGCGCCTAAAAATTGTTATTTAAAGACGCTTCGAATGGTCTCTAAACATTTGTTTAAACCCACGCCTCGGATGGTATCTTAATTTTTTTAAACCCACGCTTCGGATGGTCTCTTAATTTTTTTTATACTCACGCCTCGAGTGGTATTTCAAAAAATATTTTTTAAAAACTCATGCCTTTGGGCTCGTATGGTCTCTCGAAATATATTCTTTAAAAAAATTTTAGTTATACTTCCCCACATTTGGATCAGTATTTATTCCAGTGGCATCTCTCCACTACCAGCATAACCGCCCCAATTGGAAAAAAATTCCCACTGAGAGCGAGAGATATCTTGGAGATACAAAACAACAACAACAAACCACGCAACCAGATATCCTCGTGTGTTTGCTTGCATTCGTTTGCAAACATTTTGCAATTTGTGATTACAAAAAGTGTGTGAGAGAGAGAGGGAGAGAGCATTACTCAATGTCCGATGAATGTTTTGTATCTCATCGGCTCAGCACAATGCAATACTTCGTTATGTTACAATCTCCAATGCACTGTGGCCCAACTCACAACACTGCTACTCTGTTATTGGGGGTCTCTGTTGACGTTGACGTCGGCGTTGTCTGTGGTAGAGGTGTTGTTTTTGTGCTGTTGCCGCTGCCTTGGGTCTCTGTTAACAAACTGTTTCTGTTTTTTTGCGTTTGCTGAGACTCCGTTTATAGTCATTTCAAATTTTGAACATTTATTCGTGAGTAACAATCGAACGGAACGGACGTATCTAACGCGTGGACAAGAAAAAATACCCAAACGATTTTAAACTCCTTTGTAAAAAACAAAAAAAAAAAAAACTTTAAATCAATTTTTATATCTCCTTTAATTTCTATCCCAACCAAAAACCAGGAAGGTGTGTGCGTATACACTTTTTTCCAAGAAATAAAAGCATAAAAAGAAATTGAAAAAAGTTTAGATTGGATTTTTAAAAATAATTTTCACCTTTAAAATAGTGTTTCAGTTTTACTTCCTTGTCTGTCTACAAAGTGTATCTCTTTTTCTGGTGCAACAAAAAAAAAAAAAAATAATATAGAACAAAACTAAAAAAATCTACAAGAACAACAAAGAAACATATCAAAGAAGAAATAAAAATATAGAAAAGAAACAAATAGAATATTACAATACCCCTCTTTAAGCCATTCAACAATCATCATCTTCAGCTATCATCCAGCCATCCATCCATCATCAATTTTGCCCGGTCCATAGCTTAAACCGGCATTGTAACAATACCCTCCTCCTTCCAGCAGCCGCAGCAGACCGAACAACGAAAGAAATCAGAACGTGTGCAACCAGACAGCCAGCCCAGCATCGCTTCAGAAAAAAAGACCACAAAAGAAAAGATCGCAACACGCAAAACTAATCGCTGACTTGAAGTGAACTTCAAACTCAAACAAACCAACAAACACATCGAAACCAAATCCCCCCAACTACAACAACATCAAAAATAACCAAAACCAAGATGTCAGACGGTATTGAAGTTGAGCAAATGCCTGAAATTGTTGAAACCAGCAAACCAAGAAGGGTAAGTGTTGTGATTCTTCCTCTGCTATTCCTTTTTATTCATCCATCGTGTTCTCCTTATTCCAATTCTTATAAAAATATTCTGCTCAATACAAGTTTTAGACCTTAACTACATGCAAACACATGTATGTATATGTACACACATGTGCCTATGCATGTGTGTGGTATTTTACATCAATGTACTTAACAACAACAAAAAAATCTATATATTTTTAAACAAATTCGAAAGAGATATTATTGTATTCCTTATACAACATATATGCATACATGTTCCACTTATAGTACTCACTTGTGCCGCATGCATGGTGAATGCAAGCTGAGCGGGGCACTTGTGTCCGTTATTATGCCATGTACTTCAGAAACGAACTTCTCACATCATGTCTGTGCAAGTGTGCAAGTAGTTGTATGCCCCGCCAAATACCCTTACATAAATTTGTATATATGTATGTACTTATGCAGATTATTGCATCGAGGAGAGTGAGAGATTTTGGGCTGTTCTTGTGTGTTCCAAAAAAAAGAGAATTAATTTTTGGGATGGATTTTATCGGAAAATTAAAATAGTTTTAAAGTTGATATTTTATTTTTTGGTAAATATGTTGGGTCCTTCATGGCGAAGATCCTTAAAAACACGAACAATTTTAATAAATCAAATATGAAATGTGTAATAAAAATATTAAAATACAAATAATTAAATTAAAAAAATTCTACGAACATTGAGAACAGATTTATCGGCATTTAGAAAGTTGGGAGGTAAAATGGTGAGAACCAAAAACCCCTTTGAATGCCATCCTAAATATAAAATAAAGCCCTATTGGTGGAAATATGCACTTGTATTTAACCGAAAAAGGGAACTAGATTACATAGATTACTCTTTGGTAAGCATGGACTTCATTTCTAAGTTACACCTAATGCCATAACCTGCAAATGCTCCAAAACATTGTTCTAAAAATTGCTGCCGAATGTGTTCTGATGTCGAGTGTGGATCAACTTTATGATAGAATAGGACAATTTCGTTTCGATCTTTTTCGGTTCACTCAGCAAAATGAACTAGGTCATTCATTTAATGGCATGGTTCCTTTTAGTTCAAATGTTCATTGGCATTCGGGCTGTTCGGAAAGTTCTTAGCCTAGCACAAAAAGTGCAGTATAAACAGAAAAAGGTTAAGTGTTTTGGAAATTTCCATCTCTGTTTTGAACACATATTAAATTTTGTTTCCATCTTGCAATTCCATCATAGAGAAACAGGATGCGCATTTTTTACAATGAAAGTCCCCATTTCTAATTATCCATTGTGAAAAATTGCGGATATGTCTATTTTGAACACCTTTTCTGTGTATACCGTGCTTTTTGTGGAAATTCACACCTAGTGCCATAGCAAATTGTTCTAAAAATTGCTACCGAATGTGTTCTGATGTCGAGGGTAGATCAACTTTATGATAGGATAGGACAATTTCGTTCCAGAATCTTTTCGATATTTTTCGATTCACTCCGCAAAATGAACAAGGTCATTCATTTAATGCCATAGTTCATTTTAGTTCGAAACCAACCAACACTACTTGATGAGAAGACTTTTAAGCAGTTCCATCTGATCTTCCTCTCTTCAACGACACATCCGGAAGACACCAGACACATCCATATAGACATTGAAGACTCCATACCATCTGAACTCTACGGTCTGAAATATTTAATTCTAAACCTATTCTCAACAATTTCAATAGGGCTCGTAGTTTTGTCTCTGAAGTTTGGATCCAGATGGATCCGAGTCCAAAAAGAACTAGATGAACGAAAGAATCGGACCTTGTAGGGATTCCCATCTGATCTGCATCTCCTCATTGATATTTCCGAAAGACATCAGACACATCCATGCAGACATTGAAGACTCCATACCATCTGAATTCTACAATGTCTGAAATATTCAAATCTGAACCGATTATCAGCAATCTCAAAAGGGACTTTATGCCAATTGAAAGAGCCGTACCAAATTTCGCGGCATCAACCACATCCATGTAGACATTGAAGACTTCATAGGTGTCAATAGCAGGTCTGAAATATTTAAATCTAAACGGATTCTCACCAGTATCAATGGCGTCTTTAGGCTTTAGTTAAAAAATACACCGGCAGATCGGCATGCGTACATCAAACTCAGCAATTGATGCTTAGTAGCTTCCTCTAAAATAATAATGGGCCTATTATAGAACAGGATTAAATTCGAAGGCTATTAAGATGCAGAATTTTGTGGTTTCTATCTGCTGTCAGGCCTACTTTATCTACAGTCAGGTAGAATTTTGTGGCCTTTATCTACATCGGTCGACATTTTGCTCCCATATATCACATCGGTCCACGTTTAGGTGTAGATACCATATAACGAAAACCCCTGATTTTCGAAACACATTGGCTCAAATTTTTTCCAGTTCTCAGGGGGAAATACTAATGATTTTGAACAAAGTTTTTAATATGGTATAACATCTATAAAACGATACCTTCCTATTTTTGGTAGATTAAAAAAAAAAAAAAACAATTTGCCAGCGAATTGGATGTAATTAGATATTTTTGTTTCAGATTCAAAATCAAAAAATTTCAATATTGGTCCATTTTTAGATAAGACCCTCTTATTATGACCTCTTCCAATTTTCGGGATTTTGAAAATTGTTGGCACATTTTCCAACCGAAGAGGCTATACTTCATATTGATACTTTGTGTTCAAATGGGTTAACAAATCAAATCACCTATTGCGGACCACCTTAAGGTATAGTCCCCATATAATATATTCCGATTTTCGATATTTTATACATTTTGTCGTTTTTTTTTTAACCGATGCGTCTATAATTGGATAGTTTCAGATTTAAGAAGCAATTTCAGTATTAAATTATACACATTTCGGTGTACCACTAGGTATAACCCCAGTATTAATAATTTGGTCTCTGATAAGTTAGCAAAGACCACAAAGTTAAGTTGGACCCTAAAATTGCTATACCGTTGGAAGGTGGATGTATTCTGAAAATTTGGACCTAATATTTTCCTCATAGACCGAATAAAAAAATTACGAAGACTCAAAATCGATTAAATACTATCATTAGTTTCGAATATTAAAAAAATGCCACACGGGCATTTCGTCCTGTTTTGTGAAAATCTTGAAAATTCAATAAGGCCTATCTTTATTTTGAAAATTACCATAATTCATACTCAAAAATTATGAGACCCGCCTAATCTGACTTTAACATTTTATTAGGAAAATCGTCATAAATCTTCTATAAAAATTCTTCCAATTGACATATCAATTAAACGACCTTCATAAAGCCGTACACATTAACACATTTTAAAATTCCCACCATAAATTAATTTTTACTTATTCCTATTCCTTTCTTCACACCATCAACTTAATTAAATTGTAATTCTAAAATTTTCCCCACCACCTCTCGGCGCTACCATCATCACCACATAAACCATACAATTACAGACATGTCAATATTACAATTGACATTTTTAATGAGCTACCACTATTCTCAATGACAATGTGAATGCGGGTTCAAACTTAATTAAGGAGTACGCCACACTTTTCTTGTGCTGCTGCTTCTTCTTCTAGTTCTTCGTGGTGATAAATAATTATTATTATTTCAAATAAATAAATTGAAATTTATGACAACCTTTTAATTAAAAATAATTTAAAGGCAATCCCAAAAGACGTTCTTTGTTTTATTTCTTGTCATGGAGGTAGAGATCTCAGAAGCCCTCTTTTGACATTTACCTCGCTACCTCATTGACAATTGAAGTTCATTGATTTGAACATAACCTTACAAATTCTTTGTAATTCAATTGCCTCATTGTGAGTTCTTCTTGTTAACAACAAAACGGAGGAACTCAAATGTCAAATATTTTTGTCTTTTTTGGAACGTGCTTTTGTATTTTTGTTTTCCGATTAACTTCTTCTTTACTAAGCCATAAAAAATACCAATAAAATCGCACTTCATCTGGGTTTCAAAACATTGTCGTTTCGAAAAAAACAATAAAAATTTGAAGCCAATTGAAATGATGATAGCCGTTAACAAGAAAAGTGTACTGTTATATCCCCCTACCCACCTCCAATTAGAAATTTCTTGACCAATGAAATAAATTGTATCGCTCTCTCTCTCTGTCGCTCTCAACAAAAGTTGACATGATTCCTGGCTATTTTTGAAGAAGTATTTTTTCTTCTTCTTCTACAGAAGATCACATTTTGTTAAATGCCGCAATTAAAAACACATTAAAAACATTTTTTATTCTTCTTCTTACTTTTTGGTATGAAACGCACAGCAGCAGAGTGAAATGAAGAAAAAAAGAAAGAAAATCGAAAAACGAGTTCATCTGCTGATCTCTACCGGGCCATGCCGGACCAGGCCACATGCTGTCTGGTTTGTGTTTGTTTGCTTGCGGTGTTCTATGTTTGCCAAGGCATGTTTGTTCTGTTATTTAACAGTTGTGGATAGATTTTTTTCCCGTACAGGTTTGAGGAGATGTATGCACATCAATCGGTTAGCGGTAGATCCCCCAGCTGGGTATAGCCGAACATGTGGAAAATAATAATAAATGTAATTAAATTTATCATTCCATTTGTAACACCTCGAAATATTCGTCGGAGAACCCACCCTTGCTTACTTAGCTGGCTTGTGACAGAATTTTCGTTCCATAACCCGAGCTTAGAAAAGATTTCCAGGCGCGTCGGTCTTTTGCGCAGTTCTTCCAATTTGAAAGTCCATTTTCGGCGATATTGTCTTCGACTTGATCTTTCTAACGTATTCTTGGCCTTCCCCTTCTGCGTGAACCATCAGCTGGTTCGCTTTTATATGCCCTCTGGGATAGGGCATCTTCTTCCATTCTCACAACATGACCTGGCCAACGTAGTCGCTGCAGCTCAATACGTCTAGCAATGTCAATGCCCGAGAATAGCTGGTACAACTCATGGTTCATTCGACAGCGATATTCACCGTCAACGCAGATCGGCCCATAGATCTTTCGGAGTATTTTT